AAATGCTGTATTTGAAAACTTGGGCGGTGGACATCCTCCCAAAATTTCAGCCTTTTTATTTTCTGGCTTCCGAGTGACTTTCGTGCCGAAACTTTTAAGTGGTCGTACGTGAGACCTCCGCAAACTTGACAGTCAAATTTGAGTTTCTGAGACCCCTGCATAGGCAGAGGATACCCTCCTGAAATTCCCAGCCCTCTAGCTTTTCTGGCCCCCGAAATAAAGAATTCCCCGCCAAACTTTCACGGTGCCATACATGGTACCCAGGCATACGGGAGGGCTGCATTCAAATTTACTGGGTCGTACATGATGAGGAAACATCCCTCAAAATTTCAACTCCCTAGCTTCCGTGGTTCCAGAGATAATTTTGCCCACCGAGACCTTGACGGGGCCGTATGTAGTGCGCGCTGGCCCATGATGGCTGAATTTAAATTTTTGGGATCACACGTAGGCAAGGAACATCCTAATAAAACTTCAGCCTCCTATCTTTGTGGCCCCTAAGTTGAAAATGTGGGACAAAATGCACTCGGGCACACACACACACACACACACACACACACACACACACACATATACATACATACACTCGAACACACACACACACACACACACACTAATTTTACCTTTGCTGTTGCACGCTTCAGTTCTTCATTGTCTTGAAGAAGTCTCAACAAATCGTCAACATGTTTCGTTTTCTCTTTCAGATAAGGCAGACAATACTTCAGAAAGCCAGCTCCATTTTTTAAGCATTCTGCCATGTTTGGATTACGCGAATCCCTGAAAATTTCAGAATCCAACTTTTTAATAAAACATTTTTTTATATTTCATTTTTTTTTTCGGGCTGTAAGCAAGAAAAATACCAATTGGCGATTCTTGCTGAGATTTTTTCTAGCAGAACCTTGTGCGCTTCTTTTACCATCAACAACTGCACCGATATTCGTCTGATCAAATGAGTATCTCCGCTTACTGACGGTTTTAATAAATCACATCCACACGCTTCTCCATATTGAGCAATGAACTCAGGATACTTCTGCAATACATTATCGATTAAATCTCGACTGGTAAGTAGTAAAGCGAAGCAAGCAGACGAAATCAGACAAATGCTACAACTCAGAAACCCTGTTCTGCATTAGCAAGGAAATCAGAATGGCAAACAATAATAAAATTATAACTGAACGAATCCGCGTAAAAAAACAAAAATCCTTAAAGAGTGTACGACGACGAGCATACAAATGCTCACCACAGCAATCAGTTCCAGTTGTGCAACGAATTTTTTTTCGACAGT